ACTCTCTGTCATGTTTTAAAATCATGAATACATTGCACCATGCGTTTAAATCATGAATACGCTCTGCCATGTGTTAAAATAATAATTTATGAATCTGTAGAACTGATGACCTATTCATCTCAATTTTAACTTCACTATCGTATTTTATTTTGAGCCAAATGTGTATTAGTGAAAATATAATGACATAGAAATTATTTCCATATATGAAGGTTTACTGCTAGCAGTGAAAGTTTACGTCATCATAACGCAACTTCTTTCATATTTGAGGTTATTGCCAAAGGCATTGTGGCGGAAAAAAGTTAACGGAGATTTTCTAGTGTTGGTTTAGCTCTGGGATTTTTTTCTCAGTCGGGTCAAAGAGCTTGGAGGGCTTGTATACGCATTTTTTTTTTTATTTAGTTTTTGAGCTTGTCAGATAAAGCGGATACTTCCGCCAGTGAAAGTTGTTGTTAAAGTAGGACAACGACTTTTGATAGTAGAATTTTTATCGGAGACACTCGGGCGTAACCACGGCTACTCATGTCTGTAAATTTTCGTAAATAAAACGGTCAACCCTTATTTTTATGAGAGCTTGTTTTATTAGTCTTTCTATATTCTTACCCATAACCGTTAGTATTGCTATTTTTCTCTTCCATTGTAGCTTTATCAGTGTAAGCTTTGCTAAAATTTTGAGATTATCATCAATAATCGTCTAACATGATACAACATATATGTTCGTACAATAAGATACGAATTCATAAACATTGTACAAAGCGTTAGACTTTATTTGTTATTGTGTTACTGGTAAATGAAAACACAATATTTAATTTCCATATATATATGTATTTCCATAAAACATGAAAGCATCACCTTTAAGCAGATGACAACTTTTCGTTCCACCGTCGCATCCGGGTCACAATGGAAACATTGCAATTTATCCAACCAAAGTTCCTGTGCAAACATGACTGTATACAAGATATGCAGTCATATTCTTGACTGCACGAGTACATTTCATGTTTTCTATACTAATTCTTAGTTTAATAAAATGTCGTGTTTGTTGATTCAGCATGGCAAATTTTATGGCTAAAAACATATTTAACTTTGTCATTTTAGTTATACCTACGAACATAACGTATGGAATCGATAGAAGAAAAAGGGGTAAATATACAATAAAAATGGAAGTGATAAAATTCAATAAACAAAATAGTTGATACGAAATTCAGATTAAGTAAAAAAAACTATGAACTATAAAAGATTAAATCCAAAATTCTGTGAAAACATAGGATTTAATATACGAAGAACAAGTTCAAAAGATGGCATCGGTAATTTTAAGATTAAATGAAGCCTAAAACTCTATCAAAACAAAAAACGCTTGATGTAGTCATACTTATGATTCTGTCATAGTTTCATTAGGCAAACGATGTCATAGTGATTTCCCCCTTTGGATATTTAGTGATATTTACTATTTGGTATTGTATTCCTTTCTCTTCACTAGCCTTATAAACCCGGAAATGTCGTTAACAAAGTACCGTAAACTGGATAATTATATGACGGAACAAAAACAACTAATAGTTATCATTAATAAAATTTAGGAAATAGGGGTTTCCCTTGCTTCTCAAGCCCTTCCTGAATGTTGTTACGTTATCTTAAGCCTTCCGGTGGCACATCGGTATATCTGGTTTCGATACCCGTGGTGGGCAGAGCACAGATAGCCCATTGTTCAGCTTTGTGCTTTATTACAAACAAACGTTATCTTAAAAAAGACCCTAACTGTATCGAACCAATGGTCTTCCTTAATGCACTTGGTTCAAATTGTGATACAGAGTGTTGGGTAGGTTAAATTAAAGCGATTTTAAAAACACAAATCCCCCAAGCATAGTGTCGACCGCAGCTGATATAAAATCGCAGTGACGTGACATGTACCAAAGCGAAATTTCGACATCATTTGGTGTTTCGTAAATAATGTGGGGCCACTGAAATTTGGTCACTTCTGAGAAAGATATGTAAAAAACAGCCCTTTCTGATACAAAATATTCGGGCACTCAACTTCTAAAGATATGTTCAGATTAGGGTTTTATAATCTCTAACACGTGAATATCCCATGTACTTAATCGCATTGGAAAATAAAGGAATATGGCTTATCTAGGACACCAAGACCATCCACAAAGAGACCTGCAACAAGTCCTTCCACAGCTGTGGTAAGCACAGTACAGCATCTTCTAACATGTGAAAATCTACATACACAAAGGTCAATGTCAAATGCTGTCCATTTGTCTCAAATAGCAGTACACAACATAATGAAAAAAGACTCTGGTCTGTAAAAGTGACACAAGTTACGTGTACACCAGATGTTTCCACGACATATCCGTTAAACCGTTGCATATCTCAAGCAGCTGGAGAATGAAATGGGAAGTCATGTCATTCGATACTAAGACATACCTGTAAAGTCTCATATGGATACACAAGAGGCCTTATGAAAACATGCAGGGTGTAGAGGCGTTATTTTGACATGACAGCCTTACGACGGAACCTTTTGCAAATTACGCTACAGGTCTATTGTCAGGATTCACAGCCAAACAAAAATCCCAATTCGTTTTAAAATAGTATATTCAACCGCTGTATTTCAGTTTGAATGGTCTGGATCTACTAGTCACGGAAAAATGCAGAAGAAACCATTAATGTTCTGCAAATGTCTCCTCTCATTGAATAATTCTACTTGAATGTGATGTTCAGTTTGAATATACATATATATATATATACTTTGTTAGTATTATTTATTAGGAATACAGTAAACAAACATGTAGCATTTTAGAAGCTATTTTTCTACCTCCTGCACATACTCGCATAATCCTCGAATTAAATTTCATGGATTGCGTATATTTACAAAGTACTGTGTTGCCCATACCTAAAATAGGCAATGTTTTACATGACTATTAATTAATTTATGCCCCTAATTTATATGCTAGTAATAAGATGAAACCTCATTTATGTGATAATTTCTTGTTAAGCTAAGGTTTATTTAAACCTACAAGTTTCAAAAATGTGTGTGTTTTTCTTATAGCAAAACCACATCGGGCTCTCTGCTGTGTCCACTGAGGGGAATCGAACCCCTGATTGTACCGTTGTAAATCCACAGACTTACCGCTGTCCCATTTTCTTTAAATTTCATATCACTTGATCGTAGCACAGCAAACACTATTTGTTTTTTTTTGTTTTTTTGATATATACACAAGTAGCTACAATGTTATCAACACACATTTGTTGCTAAGAAAAATTCAATGTCACGTGTAAATTATAGACAGTTAACTTCAGTATTTGTATTAAGGAATGTTAATTATGTACGTTTAAATGAAATAACCTAAAGGGTTTCTTGGCATTACTGTTATGCATTAGTGTGTGTTTTCTATAAACATTAACAAAAGTAATCATAAACCAAGACTGAAAACTTGGCACACCAGTATTAAGTCTCTACATGTGTTAAAACCTCATTGAAATATATTTTCAATGTAATAGATTATGTGTTGAATTGCAATGTGCTCATAGTCGTTAGTGTGTGTTTCATGTAATCTTGATTATCGTATTAACCTATTTTGACTTACAAGCAATATCAATGTTTGTTTTATTTGAAAGATATAATACAAGTGTGTTAAATTATTTATTTTTAAACTAAAAAATCTTAAAGAAATTTTTCTTAATGCCAGTTTGTAGTATAAGCATAAAAACATACTGTCATTGATGGATTTTGAATTTTAACTACATTTTTATGGGAATCCATCCTTGCAACATAAGAGTGTTCAAATTATCTTTCCGAGAAGCGTGTTACGCTGGATTCCAGCTCTTTCAAACACTTTAGCGCCACCGTTCTCACATGAGACCTGTTTTGCAGGTAACTACAAACTCAACTGGCTTGCGCATGGATATTCGGTATAGTATTGTGATTTTTATTAAGAACCCACATACATATATAAATAAAAAGTCATAACTAAAACTTTTCTTTCATAGTATTTCGTTTTCTTATCAAATACAGAATTCCTGGAAATATTTGATAAAAGGACTAGAAATTAAGGAAGAAGTAAAACCGGTAAAAGCAGTAAGTTTTTCGTATTATTCAGGATGTGAAACGTTGTTATACAATTATTGTGTTTTTTGTTTTTGTTTTTTTACAGATACCATATTAATTGTGTTTAGGCAGTTGGAAAAAGGCTTCGGGAAAAATAGGTACATTTAAAATATATTTTGAAAAAAAGTAATCAAAATTAAATTTTGACAAACTAGATAATAAAACAGGAACAAATAAAGAGGCGTTGCCATCACCCATTAAAAATAGATACTAAAACCTATTTGCAACAAAAGCTATAAACTGCCATAAGGATGGACGTAGTTTGTCGCACAATTCTCTACAGGACAGCTATGGAAGATTAAAAAAAAATCTTCAATGCGCATAAACCTCAGATAGACTACAGGTGAAATTTTCTAGGGAAGAAATACACGATGTTAAAATGTACTTGAGAACATAACTAAATTAAGGGGTAAAAAAAAGTGTATCAATACATTTTGTGTTTAGTGTATAATATTTATTATTTTTTGACATAAAAATAATTACCCTTTTCGCTAATGAAACAGCTTGATGTGGTCTAGTGGTTAGCGTGCCGGACTGTTAATCTAAAGGCTTATGATTTATGTCCCATTACCCCAAAACCACGTTCCGCATTTTGGAACAAAGGTGTGTTATATAATAAGGACAGTCAAATATTATTATTGATTAGAATAGACCAAGTGTTAACACTGGATGATGTTGGCTAGCTGCTTTTCCTCTAACATATAAATTGAAAATTAGGGACGAATGTATTCAGATAGCCCTTGAATAGCTTCGAGGAATATCCGAAACAAATAAATGCTTCGTGTTATTTTCCGAAACAAGGCTTTGTAATTCTTATTTTCACTAAACGATACACAAAAGAGTTTGTTTTTCCATACTTAATTTAAGAAAAACATTATTGAGGCTTAATCAATGAACTTACTACAAGTATAAGGGTCCCAATGAATTCGGATAAGCACTGCCGTACGAGATCACTCTTGATTCGAATGTGTCCAAGAAATCCTGAGTTTTCCATCATCCTACTACTAAATTACTATTTAGGTGGTAATGCCGCAGAATGTTTTTGCTGAGAAAGTTTACAGTCAAAATCTTGTTGCTGAATAACCTTAATATAAATTTAACTCAGATTTATAGCTGACTCTCTTAAATACAGGTGCAAAATGCTGATATTATAACCTACTCTGATTGGCGGTTCCCAGCTGTTCGAGATCACGTCATTCACGGTATAGGCGAGGCCTAGAAGCGAGCTGCACGTGGGTTTGTTTCCATCTATATTGTATGTGATGGGTATAATGGTTGCGTCGTGTGAGATAAGTATATGTAAAAAATACAACCTTATTTACTAAAACGTTTTACATAGAAAGTTGTTTGTTGAGTCGAAAGTGCTCGGGGTATGAATCATTTAGTTATATCAGGTTACGTATAAATAAAGATGAGACACTGGAATTATATGTTTCAAAACAATGAAAGTTGAAGCAAAATACATTGAACGTGTTATCTAAAATGTATTTATGTACTAAAATTGGAACAGTAAAATTTATTTCATAGCTGTATTTAATGAAAACATTTCACAAATCACGATCCCATCGTCAATCTCAGTCACTTAGGATACATAAATGATTATTCTACTATATCGTAATATTTTCAATGAGAAATAAGATAAAACCGACCCTTATCATACTGTCAACCATAAAGCTAAAATATAAAATACCCTAAGTAAGTATCCTAATCATTTGTTCCATTTTGTTTCATTGATTTCTGTGTCACTTAATGAAACTTTTTCAATTGAAATTAATTATGTATGATGAGAGATCGTTTTATATTAAGTGTTGAAAGACAAGATGTAATGGAATATCGAATCTAGACTAAATCATAATAGTTTCTTTTTCTTGGTGATGCTGTTCTTTTTTGCTTTTTCTTAGATGAGAATGTATATATATGTTGAAAATCAATATTGAAACTTAGTCTTAATAAAATCATTTTTCTTACCGAGAAAAACTTTTATGAACGTACAGTTCTATTTAATAAATAGAGAAACTCATCGTAACATGACCGAACTTTTTGCATAACAAATAATGTATCCAAGAAAAAGCACCTAGAAATCAAAACGTACATGAATTGCTATTCTTACAATCAAGGCTGGCTACTCAAATCACTTTTTAGTTGACAGCAGGCATGAAAATATATTAATGTTTTTCGAAAACACATCTAAGAAATAATTGCTTAAAGTAAGTTTGTGGCGAATGTATATTAATTGTTTTCATGATTATTAACCTATACGATCACCTAAATGTAATTATTGACTAGTTACCAATTCATGAATCACCTGAACAGACATAATTCCCCCCCCCCAGTGGCACAGCGGTATGTCTGCGGACTTACAACGCTAGAAACCGGGTTTCGATACCCGTTGTGGGTTGAGCACAAATAGCCCGCTTATAGCTTTATGCGTAAAAACAAAGACATAAAACTCTGAATTTTATATGACAAAAAATGTGTAGTTTTATGATGAACTACAAACAAACAGAGTGTCAAAATTTAGCGATACAATTCACAACAGAAATATAAGATAAACACCCATTCCTAAACGTGATGATTATCAAGACACGTAATTTGTAAATTTACGAATCACACGAGTTTACCCAAACCCGCGGACAACGGTAAATTACCTTGATTATAGATTAAAATACCCCAACGGTGTATTATTTGTAATTCAGAGTAAACAAAAACAAAAAAAAATCATTACAACATTTCTCCTTAGAAGTGTATATCACTAAAAACTTGACAAATAAGATAAACACCAAGAATAAAGAGATGAAAAACATTATAGACAAGAAGCAACATACCTCTATGCAAACAGCATAGAGTCAGCACACAATTCAGAAGCCTCAACACAATACAATCACAGTTAATACATACCAAACTACCTATGCATTCAATGGAGAGCAAAAGTACCAAATATCAGCACTAACATATGATCAAGCAAACTACCTACGTAGATCAGAACCTAAAAATAACCCAGTAATGAACATAAATAATTTAGTACCGTTTTTACTTATTATAATTATAATTGATTCATCAGTTTGATACCGTCTCTGTTGATAATATTTGGACGCAATCCTTATATCTCATTAGGTTCGGCTAGCTTAAATGATTTAGTTTAATCCTAAATCCATATAATCAACTAACAATATAAAATAATCCTAACAGTAAAAATATGTATAATATATCATAAAAATATATTTTGATAAAGTTGTATGTATCTAACATTATTAATGAAACTAAGGTTAACAAAATAATATAACTTGCTTACAAAACATAAACACAAGATGTTTGCTTCATGCACTATCACCGCGACCCTGTCAAAACTGCGTATAATCCTCCCTAACAACATCCCGATAAACGACTACGACAAATGTTACTGTTTTACTGTACAGGTTGATAACAGGATGGTACACAGTATACAGGAAAAAAAAACTAATGTTATGAAGGAAAAATAATAATGTATAACAAATTAAACAAATAGCGAAATCGAACATTAAACAGTAAGTTATTATTATCCTAATTAACAGAGCTAAGTAAAATAATATTGATAAAAAAATATTTACTAAACATACAATTAAATGTATCTAACACAGCTAATCCAGCTTTAACTATCCCTTATACACATGTTCAATTTACAGAGTGAACAGTTGGAAGTTATAAACAAGGTTAGGACCTAAGAACTAGCCGCATTACATAAGCTATATTAACAAGCAATCTCTAACCCAACGGCAGAAAATACAAATATTTTAGTAGATGGTATGGTATCCCATCACATTCGGAAACTTACATGGCTGTGTAAGGCATGACCAATGGATCATTGTGCTGTTTCTTTGGTTCGGGTAGTCATTAAAGTGTTTCTATTATACAATTTTGATTCCATTTTGCCATTATTTTAGCTTCTCTCTCCTCTTATCCTTGTAATATTTTTGCACTTCACTCATAAAAGTCTTTGTATTCTACGTTACTTACCTGATCTTAAATCGAGATTCACACCACGTCTAATCGTTTTCGGCCTCTTCTCCATACATACGTTTACAGTTCTGTAAACAGATTTACTTCTCTTTGACAGCACCTCCACCATCGAAACTTTTATGATCTCTCTCTTGCGGCTAACTTTATGAGCAACTGTTGTGCCATCGTGACTGCATCCACACACGTTACACTTGTAACGCCTCTGACATTCTGCTACCTTACATTTGCAGGTCAACTTTGAATCCGACCTCGATTCCATCTCGACAAGAACTAACACTCGGAGATTCTGGGTCGTTATCTCAGCAGTTCCTCACAGGTTTCACAAAAAGGTCGAGAATGTTGAGAATTCCATAGATAAATTACTACAACAATGTAATGACCATTGTCTGTAATAAGATAAAAAATAAACCAACTTTATTATCAAAAACCAATCACAACTTCTATGGATATTATCCAATTATAAGTCGGGGTACACATCTTGATTCCTAATAAAATAGTTCATATTACTGTAGTGTTCATAAACAAAAGTCTAAATCCCATATATGGTTCCTACAAAGTACCCTACCATTTCTACTGCCGTTGAGTTAGTTTCTTTTGTTTTGAATTTTGCGCAAAAATATACGAGGGCTATCTGCGCTAGCCGTCCCTAATTTATCAGTGTAAGACTAGAGGAAAGGCAGCTAGTCGTCACCACCCACTGCCAACTCTTGGGCTACTCTTTTACCAACGAATAGTGGGATTGACCGTCACGTTATAACGCCCCCACGGCTAAAAGGGCAAGTGTGTTTGGTGGGACGGGGATTTGAACCCGCGACCCTCAGATTGCGAGTCGAGCGACCTAAATACCTGGCCATGCCGGGCCTCCATTGAGTCAGAGAATGCTTGTTTAGGTACAAGAAAGGGCACAATAATTAAAACACTTAAGTATAAAAGTAACAAAAATAGCAAATATGACAAATAACAGAACTAATAAACTATTGCAATAAATCAAAGACGTAATTTTATACTATTTAAGGAAATGTCTTTGTAAATGCAGATTCTAGTACATTGGAGAAACATAAAGACCGATAAAAGTATAATTTCAGGAACATAATAGACACACAAAACTGTTATGAAGTTAGGTTTAAGGAACATGAGTTGGAGTTGAAAGAGGTGATAAAGCAACAGGTTTTGGTCAGTCCATAATGGATTAGCAGATTACAGCACTCTAAGTCATTAGAAAATCATTGTAATTAGCGGCTCTCTTTCTTGTTCAGCCGGTGTGGAGATCCTGAGACCCTCTATGATTATGAGGCATTATAAATCAATATAAGTGAAACAGGTGTGCAAGATCATAAAGAAAGGGGAGCTGTTTAGCATGAGTTTGAGAAATGAATATAAAAGACAGGAGTTCAATAAAACGGAAGAAGAAAAAAAAAGACTGGGCGATATAAGAGAGAATGAAGAAACTGAGAAAGGCGAAGGTAGAAAGTAACATTTTGTTAGTAAGAAACAAAACCTGTTTTTAAATCTAGGTAGGAGAAATCAAAGTGTGAGAATAACATGATCATAACAAAGTGGTGTCAAAGCAATCTGTAACAAAGAATATAATACCAATCTATCTGCAATAGCCCATCGAGCCAATGAAGAAGATCACATTCAGTCTGAGAGTAATATGAGATCAAGTTTAGGGAACTGGGTAGACTAGAGAATGGTGTCACGATTTTAGGTATTCCATCTAGGAGCCAAAACATGTACTCTTATAAAGGGTTTGGTTTGTTAACCTCAAAAAACCACCAAACTTTACTACCAAAATAATTCACCTTTCAGTATTGTTTGGCTACAAAGATGCAGAGTTTAGGGGTTGGCCGAAATGCGTTACTCTTGAAGAAAATAGCAAAAGTTTTCATGTTAAATATAGGTACTGCATTCAGCCACGTTAGAGCAGCAAGTAAGCAAGTAAGTGAGCGTTTCTTGATCATCTCTATCGACAGAACTCGCAAAAACTGCAGAAAAAACGGCTTTATAGAGCTGAGAAACCAGACCTTGTATTGCACAACACTTGAGGTCACTAATATGTGTTTTTGTGGGATTT